CCAAATTATCCCTTCAGATTTGTAGAGCAAAGAAAGTGCCTCTCAGAATGCTACATGTATCTGCAATTAGTCATATGACAACACAGCAATTTTCTCAATGGGAAAGTCAAATGTTTCAACAAAGTCATCAATTTATGTGGAAAATTGTACTTCTGGAGACCATAAACAGTCCATAAAAAACATCTGAAAAGAAAATTCCCAGCCAGCTCTGCTGCAATACCGTGAAGTGGTAACACAAAAAGCCTAACAGCCCAGAAGATGGGAGCAAGCAGAAAGAAAGGCCAAGCAGCAATATCCTCTTGTGAGCAAGCCAGAATAAGCAGATCGCAGACTTATCTGACTCACATTCCAAGATTTCTGCCCTAATTCATGACTTCTGTAAAGCTGAAAGCTGTATAAAGAATCTCTCCTGATATCTAGCCTCAGTGGTGTTCCGAGAACGCTGCTTCTAACAGCACAGGCAGGAAAGTTTGGCGATTTCAGCATTGTATCTGATTTATACTCTTGATAAAATGCTTTCCTGGAATCACCCTAAAGAATGGCAGTGAGGAGACTAAAGAAATCAGGAGATGTAAACAGAAATCAATCATTTGTGAGAAGAAGAAAACAAATTCTCACCATTTTCTTCCCCTCCTGAAAACCAAAGTTCACACAGTAACAGCAGTGCAGCCAGAAGAACATGGGGGTTACTTCTGAGTACAGCATGGAAGTAGGGAGTCACTTCAAAAAAGTAGAAGTACCTCTGATAAAAGCATTTTATGTGATCAAATGAGAACCTGGCAAATTACAAAGCACTACTTCTATTTTAAAAACAAGAATTAAAGGTCTAATAGCCCTTAAGACTTTCACCAATGCTCAGCTCTAAATTTAAGAAGGGATGGAACCAATGAGCAAGCACGCCAGCAAAGACAATCTGTCTTGTTACCAAGGCCTGATTACCCTAGGCATCACTAAGGAGAGCTCTTAGAAGTGGGCTGTAGCCTGAACAGCAGAGAAAAGTGTGTTCATACTTGGAGAACCAAAGCTGAGAGCATTGGGGGTGCTTAAACTTCGGCCTCCAACTCTGGCAGTAAAGGGCATGTCTTCATCTTGGGCTCGGAAATCCTCCTCATTTGGTGGCACCATCAGACAGACGTAAGTGTGAAGCTGAATAAGAAGCCGGTGTTGGAGCATCCATATCACCATTTGAATGAGCTGAGTCTGCAGAGTGAGAAATGAGTGAGAAATGAGGTATTAAACACCCATGAAATAAAATACAGGAGGAAAACGGTGCACAAAGGTTAGGCTTTGTGACTAAGAAGTCACAAGGAGAAATGCTTTCCACCCCACACAACAGTTTTATCTCTTCTCCAATCATAAAAAGATGACCAGGCACATACGTTCATCACACCCAAAGCCTTTGTGGATGCTTAGACTGTAATCAAACCTTTAATGATCCACATGTCTTTATGCAACACTGACCAGCACAGCCAGTGTCCTCAAACAAACCCGCTCTGTCCCTTTGCCACAGCTCCAGCACCTGCCATGTTCTAGCAGAGCAGCTGAATGCTCTCACCACATCATGCTCTGGCCATACAAATGTAGCTGTACAACCCCACCTGGAGCTGTTCCATCCTCTTTTAATAAAACAAGTTTAGTAGGTGCTAAGAAAATGTGAGCGTTTTATTTCTGAGAGGTTAGACATGGAAAGAGTCAACAGATACAGGCCCTGACACCCATGGCCCAACAGTGTGAGCCCTGAGACCAGTTTGCTGGTGTTTAAACAAGACCCACTAAAATCACTAATCACCAAAGGGTTAATCCCAGAGTGGTCAGATTATAGCTGGTTCCTAGAAAGCCAGGGAGAGGGCAGGGTGAGGGGGCAGAGCTGAAGGAACCAAGACAGGTACCCAGCAGTAGGAGCTGTTTGCTGTCAGATGGGAAATCACTGCAAAGCCAAGGGAGAGACTCTGGAGGTCAGAGCCCTGCCAGGAGCCAGCGGTGCAGAAATAGCACTAACAGCAGCAGAAACCTTGGCGGGAGGCAGCAGCCTGCTGCTCCCAAGGAGTCTCCTCTCAATGCAAAGGCTTCATATCCCCCATTTGCCCACTATCCCTCTGCAATAATAGGACAGGACAAGCTTATAAAGGCACCCAGGTTTTTAGGGTGCAGACAGGCAAGAGTTTCAAAAATGCTGAGAGATGACGGTCGTATTAAACTGGCACAGACAACACGTTTGTGTTACAGCAGCCCTGGCCAAAGTCCCCAGAGCGATGCTGAAAGCAGTGGGCAGAGCGAGGGACAAGCGTTTATAGGTTCTTGGCATGGCCTGTTTGCAGAAGTTTTGGAGAAGCATTCAAAAGGCATCATCATATCTGAATTTCTGCACAAATAGCCTTTTCATATCACTGCAGGCAACCCTTCCCATCGCTAGCGGCTCTGAAAACACTGATGCACTGACAAAAGCTGTTTGGGGATTTCATAGCAACCAACATTGTTTTGGTGAGAGAAACACATGCAGAATGAGCTCAGACTCTGAGGAGGAAGCTAGCTCTGCTGTATTAATCATCAGGATAACGGGCCAAATCTCAATAAAAGCCCCAAACCAAAGTTCATCAGCCCACATAATTTTCCTTTTTCCATAAATCTTATAATTCTCAGTTCCTCCTTTGCTATCAAAGCACAAAAGAAACATCTTCTATTTGCAGACAGACCCACACCCTGTCTTTTCAGGGATTACCACTTTTAGGGGCTGAATGGATTTTAATCTTAAAACATATTATCTGGGATCGCTTTCAAACATATCATTTTTGGAAAAGCCATAACTCATTTCACATGTTTAATAGAAAATCTGCAGAAGAGGAAGGCTGGCAAAAGATACCAAATGCACAGCGTTTTGCTAACATCTGAAATCAGCCTGGACTAGAGAGGAGGTTTACTCCAGTCATTATGTTGCTAAAAACCTTCCTTCCAGATGCAGGTCTGGATGGAATGATGTCTCATATATTTTGCTTAAATTTCCAACCTGTTGGCACGCGGTGATGTCTGATTAGCTAGTTTCACATCAAATGAGCGAGGTCTGCATGTTTAACAGCCCAAAAATAACCCTGGAAAAATCCATGGCAACTCAAGGAGACAGTAAAACAGGCTCTACCAGACCTGCAGAGTCTGCTGGGTAGGGCCTGACCTAGACCAGGCTCCACTGGTCACTTTGGTGGTTTCATGAATTACAAAAATAGCCAGTTGCTTTCATTACAGCTCCATGTGTGTGGAAAGTCTTCTCCAACACTCTCTAATTGTGCATATGCACTTTCACCTCTACACTCCTGTGCAAACATCTAGAAAGCCCCCCTGAGCCAGCAGCTATGGCTCAGAGGAACAAGAAGCCAGACAAAGCCATGTTACAGCAGCTTTACAACCGTAGCATCGTACAACCAACAGCTGCCAAATGCCTTTGTGCCCTAAGTGGGAGAGCTGGAGATCAGCTGTGACTAACTCCAGGACTAGAGAAAACTGTTCTTCCCTACTAAAGTGAGCCCAAGCAAACAGCTCTAGGTAAGAGAGAATCAGTGATGGTTATCTAGAAGCTGGACTTCAG